GCTAGTTAAAGTTTTAGCTTTAGCGATTCATACTATATATACAGCTTACAATTGTTTAATAAAGCACACATAACTAGTCTGACAGAGGGTTTTAAAAAAAAAAAAACTATATTATACTATATATTATTTTTTATATTATATTTGTATTATATTATAATTCAAAACTATTTAATATATTAATTACAACTTTATCACTTTATGTTACTATTTACTAATTTTTAAAAATATCAAGAAAGTATTTAATTTTAGTTTTACTTAATAAAAGTTTAAAAAATTTTTTTTAAAAAAATAATAATTACTTGCAACTGTAATAAATATAATGGATCAATTATTAATTCACAAACAGAATTTTTCTATAAATATTGAAAACCAAAAAGTAAAGATTTGACAAATGAAAAATTCATATTTTAGTATAGAATAAAAAATATTTTATCAAGTTACATTATATCATTGAATAACAATTAACAAAATCTAGAATTTAATGATGTAAGTTTTGAAAATAATAAATTTGAAGTTGATAATAATAAAGAAATAGATAATATATTTAGCTTTAAAATATGAATTTTTATCAAATTTTGGCAAATTTTCATATAGTTATTTTATGTGGATTTTGAATAAAGTTTTAATACTTACTATAAAACAACTTGAAGTCTAACTTCAAAAGTTATCATTATCCTTATCCTATTGTTTATAAGTCTCTTTATCCAAAAACTTGACTTCAAGTAATCAAAAAAAGTCAAGTAACACCTTTAATATAATAGCAAAAAAGTTCTCAAAAAAAGAAGAACTAATTATAAAGTATCTAAAAATCTTTTTAAACTTTGTAATAAGAAGTTTATAGAGGTTTTGTTGTAGTTAAAAGGCTTATTTTCTCTCTTTTAAACTGTTCTAGCTTTCTTAAAGTTTTTATTTTTATAGTTTTCTGAGGAATTTTGTTTATTTCAATTTGATCCTAAATTTTTGATAACACAAATTCTTATCAAATATGATTGGTTATATAAAATATATTAGTTTCAGAAATATTAACAAGCTCCTATTGGTTATACTCATATGTTTCAATAATATTATTGGTGATTGAAAAGAATATTTTGAAAATATTTGCTTCTAAAAAACTCAAGTTTCTTAATAAAGACTTTCATGATATCAAAAAATCAAGTAATAAGTAATATGGATTGCAAACTCCCATCTTTTATTTAAGTTTCTCAGATGGTAATAAAGCTTTAATGAAAAAAAACTGAAGTCTAAATACCTTTCTTGAGACATCCCAATTTGATACTTGCTTAGATAAAGGATCAGTTGAATTGACTTGTTCAATATCACAGGTGATGAAAAAGAAAATTTCTTCTAAAATTCAAGTGAAACAAGAAGATTATTTTAATTAGGCAGATTTCTTTTAAGATGAGTTTGTTTTTATTTTTGAATTTTTTTAATGGATCTTGAATTGTTTCTTTTTCTAATTAATTTTTCTCTTTTCTTTTTTAATTTAATAATTCATTGGTTTTTGGATTAATCAATAATAACAAATTGTTGACAATGATCCTAATAGATAGAGATCATTACCAATCTATCAGGGAAGTATAATATTGGTTTCAAAAATCTAACTTAGAGTATTTATGTATAAAGACAAGTTAGTTACTTTGTGAAGTTTATAAACTATTGTAGATTTTGTTTAATTTCTCAATAAAGACAACTCATTGTGATATGATTACAAGTTAAAAAAAAAATTTTTTGAAATTGAAATTATTAAAAGTAAAAAAAAAAATAATATTCAAGTTATAAATAAATATTAAAGATAATAGAATTTAAGCAAAAGAAAGACCTGTGGGTCAATAGTACAGTGGTAGTGCTCCCAGGTTGCAATCACAAAGTCTGTAGTTCAATACCACTTAAGGGCCAAAATCAAAAATTATTCTTTTGATCAGGTTTGACCGGTTATTCTGTGAAAGTCATACCCAATCATCCGAAACAAGTTCTAATCAGATTAGGCTGCATGAAAATGGGACTTCTGACCTTTCATCTATCAGGGGCTGAGATCTACAGTCGTACTACCGGAAGGATTGCATAAAGAAAGGCTTCTGGTCTAGTCTCCCACAAATACCCCAAAACCCCACTTTGATCTGACAATCTCCAGGACCCCCACTCTTCTAACTCAGGATATTCCAATCTGATGCTCCGCTTAATTGAAAATCAATCAATGGAACTGATCTGATGTCACAGATGATGACAAAGAAGGAAAGTGCCCTCTTCTGAGGTCTGAGCGAATAATATATCTGGGAATATTGGAGGGTGTTACATATCCTATCGGGTACATACTAACAACCTAATTTAGTGAATACAATACAAAAATTTATAAAAGCTCACTACTAGATTAACCTGACTCGCCATTGATAACTATGTATTTAACCATCCGGCCTCTAGCTAGGTCTGTTCCCTCACAGAGTGGTTGCAGGTCTATCTAGGACAAACCGTGATAGGTTATCATTAAGCTGCATAGATATAAAAATATATGACTTGTAGAAGATGATTGATGTAACTACTGTAGGATTTAATTATCCATCAAATTAAGTTAATTCTTTAATAAAGCTTGCATCTAATACCAGTTGCGGTTAAAATTAAAAAAAAAAAAAAGAATTTAAGCAAAAGAAAAGTTGAATTCTTTCATCTTAAGAAAGTCCAACAAATCAAATTATAGAAAAATAAATTTTTGAAGATAAAAGATGGTTAAGGTTTTAACTTGCAAATAGAATTTCAAAAGACCGGCAGTAATAAATTGTAGGCTATAACCTTTTTGACTAAAGAATAATAAAGGAAGTGAAATTTCATTTCCTAAGGTACATCCAGAGAAGAATACACGTGAATATTAACAATTTAAAATTTTAATTATTCAATAATTTATTTAAATACAGTATAATAAAAACTGGAACCATCGAGAAAAGCATGCCATAGATCACGTGAAACTCTTCCAAATAAATTTTCTCATTATAACCTATAATCCTAAGTACCCCAATAGATAAAACATATTTTCGGCTTCCAGCTTCCTGATTTGCGCTTTAGATGGTTGACCTTGGGAACGCAACTCGGGTCAAAAGACTGGTTCTTTAATAAGATGATGTCATTCAAAATACGATCAGTGGGATATAAGCAAGCATAATTTCTGGGGTAAACGTAGATCGTTTGAAATGGCAACAATTGAGGAAATTAAAGAGCCTGTTGTTCAAGGTTAATATCGAGTTTGACTTTCTTATACAACGCGATTTCGTTCCTTATTTTGAAAAGACCTTGTCCCCTCGAACTACCACAACTGCAGAGTCAACTCCTTCCACCGATGGACAACAATTTGACGAGGAGCCGGCCACCGAAGTTTTGAAAGAATCGTCGGAGAATGAAGAATTACCAAAGTTCACACCAGAAGAAATAAGAAGTTTGGTGGAGTCAGCAAACAATCACAAGATAACAGGAAATGAATACTTTTCGAAATTGAAGTTCGAGGAAGCCATTACAGAATACGAAAGGGCTTTAGACACCTGCCCTGATGAAATAAAAAACGAACGAGCTATCTACTGGGGAAATATCGGAGCCTGTTATGTCAAAATGGTAAAATTCCGAGTAAATAAAAAAATGGCGTTCTCGTGTAGGGAATTTTGACAAACATTTTTATTTTGTAGGGAAAATATGAGGATGCCGTTGAAGCCTGCACTAAAGGTTCGAAAATGAGAAGAATGCATGTCCTGACCACCTGGGGTCTTTTTCGTTCCATCAAATTTTAACCAAATTTAATAGCACTAGGAGATTTGCCAACGTACACTAAAGTTTTATTACGACGTGCACAAGCCAACGAGAAACTTCATACTCTCACGTCGTTAACATCCGCACTTGAAGGTAGAAACTTTTGTTAGAAATCAAGTTGAGGGATACTTTTCTATTGCTTAACCTCCTTAAATCGATCATGGGGCATAGACTACAAAACATTACAATCCACTCCGTCGCATCAGTCAGAATTGGACCCTTCAACGCGTAACTCAATTAACTCATCGATACAACGTCTACCGTCGATCATCGCCCAACAGCAAGAAAAAGAGAAAAACGAAATGTTGGGAAAACTAAAAGACTTTGGTAATACAGTGTTGGGAAAATTTGGATTATCAACTGACAATTTTCAGATGGTGAAAGATCCAAACAGTGAAGGATATAGTATTCAATTTGTTAACAATGCAGACAAAAGCGGTGAAAAATCAAGTTAAGCACAATTCTTTGGGACACTAAGATTGATCCAGAATGCATGTGTTCGCTGAATTAAGTATTTGTTGGTAAAAGTTAATCAAATAAATAGGACTCCTGTCAACTCCTCCATTATACATATTGCGATATTTGCTTACATATTCGTTTTTTTAAAATGTACCGAATTCCTCACGTTCACGACCTCTTATGAATGATGGTTCGGAGCCTCTTACGTAGATGTCGGTCCATAATTCCGAATCGTCGGGTAACGGATCTTCTTGGGCCAATTTTGCGGCTTCGTCTATTTTTGCGCGTGCTTCTTTCTCGAGATTCTATAGGAGCATAATTATTAGTCGGTCAATTATGTGATTTACAAAAGCGAGCGATCATGCGAAATATACCTTTATCTCGGTATCAGTGAGGAAACCCAAATCTAAAATTCGCAATCTTAGACCTGTAATTGGATCGTTCGTACTTCTCATGTGTTGAATTTCTTCGCGAGTACGATAGGTGGTACCAGGATCCGACATAGAATGACCGCCATAACGATAGGTTACCATTTCCATTACGATAGGCCCCTTACCGGATGCAGTCCAATCCTTTGCCCATTTGCATGCTTGCTTCACGGCCAACACATCCATGCCATTGACCTATCGTGAGTTGAAAGCTGTCGGTCAGATAGAGGTCAACATGGTGCGCAGGAAAAAATTGCAAATACGCACCTGAATTCCAGGAATATATTGACCACGTGTATAATATTGTGTATTCGCGGAACTCCTATTGGCCGAAGTTCCCATACCATATAAATTGTTTTCACAAACATATATGACCGGCAAATCCCATAATTTGGACATGTTGTAGGCCTCAAATACTTGACCTTGGTTGGCAGCCCCATCTCCATATAGAACAAAAGTAGCATTATTCGTTCCCATGTACTTCTGGGTGAAAGCTATGCCAGCTCCTACAGGAACCTAACCACTGAATCACGTGAAAAAGAATGAAAAGTTAAATTAGATTTTATAAAATTTAACTGACCTGTGCACCAACAATACCGTTTCCACCATAAAAGTTTTTGGCAAACATATGCATAGAGCCGCCTTTCCCCTTTGAGATGCCAGTGGAACGACCTAAGAGATTGAATGACGTAAAACTTATGTTTAGAAGAAGTTGATGCAGATTAGTTAGTATGATACTAAAGATCTCTGAATACCCGTTAACTCTGCAAGAATTTGGTGAGGTGTGGCCCCACGAACCAATGTATAACCGTGACAACGATACGCGGTGATAATTGCATCCTCTCGTGTGATTGCGGATTCCATTCCCACAGATACAGCCTCCTGTAATTTCATTAGAACCGTCAATAAAGTTCCAAGTAACATTTCGAATTCAACGTTGTTTTATTTAAAAAAAAAAAAATAATAATGTTTACCTGACCCGTGCACAAATGACAAAACCCCCTAATCTTTTTGTTCTTATATAAGCTATCGGCAGCAGTTTCCATCCTACGCATTAAAACCATCTGTTTGTACAAGTCAACAACTTCTTCTTTCGTTATCTCGATGTTACAGGAGGGTGGCTCGCATTCGTAGGCCTTAAAACTGGTCTCCGGCAATGTATAAGATATAGGTTCCGAGGCAGTGGCAAAGTTGCGTAAGAACGGCGTCGCCGCTTTTACCAGACCCAAGGAGAAGTGTGTTTTACTCACTAGGGAAGGTAGACGTGAAACCGCGGACAGCATTTCGAAAATTCAAGTTCTGAGTTGACAATCGTCGAATACTTTTTTTTTAACATACGACCGATAGCCCAATAAACCGGTAACCAATCATAACAGCGTAGTACGCTCCCATGAATTCACCGTGTTCTTTTGGGATGTGCCTGAAAAAAAAATCCATCCGCTGAATTTTGTGTTTCTAATGTTGGCTCGCAATCAATAATCTGGTTGATTCCCTTTATACAGTGTCATTATTTCCAATCAATTTATTAAATCGTTCATAAAAAAAAAAGTTCAACTAATTCTTTCGATAAAGTCATTATGGTGTCAGGGTGATTGCAACTTCTCGTGAAGACAATGATTGATCTCTTTCAATAACATTCATTATTCCACTCTTTAACAATTTTGACACTAATTACACAAATGCTGACGCATTTTACATATGGACAATTTACTGATTGATAATTTCGGAAAGTGAAATTAGAAGATTTATTTCACTCCATTTCTCTTGTTATACTATTCTCGTTACATTCCGAAAGAATATTCGAACTTATCATTTTATTTTTCTCGAATCGTGTTGAAATGGTGATACCAGGTTTGGGAGATGCATAAAGTTCACCGCCAGTTCGACATACTGTAACTCTACATATCTAATCCCCGGGTAAAGAAAAAAAGAAGGATATTTTTATAAATCATATGTTTACAATACGTAAACTTCTCGATGCTTTAAGAGAATGATCTCACAATTACAAAAAAAAAATATCATTCAAGCTTCAATGACATAATTAACGTCATAACGCCGAAATCCATGTTCGTGTGAACCGAATAAATTAACTAGATCGATGATACCGACATTAGTATAAAAAGAGCGAACCTTCTCATCGAAAAATATTTTACAAAATCGCCAATACTTGATTCCGTATACTGTACGTCAATTATGTGTACCAAGGAAGAAACGCCAAAGAATCTTTCCGAAGTTTCGAACATTTCAAAACAAGAGATGCAAGAGCAACCTGGTAAGAGAGTGTGATGAGACTCGTTGTTTTCATAATTCCCTCGTCCATCATCATGCCTACGTTAACATAGGTCTGCAACATGAAATGACGCCTCAACCGTTGGTTCACCACATCCCTGCTGAAGCGGATGACCAAATCAAGGAATATCAGGCCGCGGGAAAATTGAAGGACAAGATTGCCGTCATTACAGGTGGAGATTCGGGAATTGGTCGTTCTACCGCCGCATTATTCGCAATGGAGGGCGTCCGAGGGATTGCCATCGTTCACCTCCCTAAGGAAGAAAAGGCGCGCGTCAATATTTTTGCAAACCCGCCTTTCTCTTTATTTATTAATAACAACAGGTCATGTATTTTATCCATTTAGGATGCTAAAGAAACCAAAGAACGCATTGAGAAACAATCCAACACAAGCGTTTTGTTAATCTGCAAGGACGTTGGATATGAAAAAAATGGCATCGAAATTGTCGAAGAAGTTGTGAACAAATGGGGAAGGATCGACATTCTCGTGAATAACGCGTCTGAACAGGTGATGCCTAAGGAGTCCCTTGTGGTTGGTTGGCACACGTTCCCTTATTAAAAATTCCCCATTCTTGCAAATAGCATGTCTGCGAAAAAATTGAGGATCTCGAGTCTTCTCAAATTGAAAGGACATTCAGGTATGATAACGTGAACAAGCAAACCCATCAGAACATTAGATAATTTGAATTCTTTTTTATTGAAGATCCAACATTTTTGGGATGATATACATGGCTAAACACTGTGTCAAACACATGAAACAGGGGAGGTAAAGTATGAAATTTCTCGACTTTTCCTGATCTCATCCTTTTATAACATATTTTTGTCATCGTTGAATTGTCCCCGTTCCTTGAAAGTACCATAATCAACATTTCATCTATTACCGCCTACAATGGTCATCCCGTGTTGGTAGACTATTCTTCGACCAAGGTAATTAATTAATTGTATATCTATATTATATATATTTTTTATTCTTTTAAAAACTTATTAACACGCCCGATTATCCTTGGATTTAGGGTGCAATCGTATCTTTTACCAGAAGTTTATCCCTCCAATTAGTTAGTCGTGGAATCCGTGTAAACGGTGTTGCACCTGGTACGGAATAGTTGTTTTTAAGATCTAAATCAAGATAAGGCGCTCGAATCGATTTTATTATTCAACTTTTATCTTAAACAGGTCCAATCTGGACGCCACTGATTAAGGCTACATTCTCTCCCGAAAAAATGGAAAAATTCGGTAAGGATGTTCCAATGAAAAGAGCTGGACAACCGTCAGAAGGTAGGGTATGCTACCGTACGTACGATTACTGTCATTCAAATATACGAATTGAATTATTTTATTTCTAGTCGCGACTTGTAATGTGTTTCTTGCAAGCAACGATTCCAGCTATATCTCTGGCCAGGTAGAAATATAGACTTAATCATCTCTTCGCGGGATAAAATACGAGTCATGTGTATTATTATTAACCTTTTTCTATTTTTTCCGATCATAGGTTCTCCACCCCAACGGAGGTAAATTTGGAAATTCGTTTTTAATTGGTTCATTTTACGAGCAGCTGACTAATATCATATTCAATAGGTTCCATTACTAACAGTTAGACCATCAACAGAGTAATTGTAATTAAACCATTTTTCATGTAAAATATTGATTTGCATGTATTTTTTGAGATAAAAATGATAATGCAATTTTGTGATTGAAATTGAACAAACATTGCATATGAAAACTATGTTGTTTGCTAAATGATGCAGAACAAAGGGTTGAATTTTAAATTATTGGAATTTTTACTTTTTTTTTTTCGAAGATCTATATTTTTTTTTTTTACATACTTTTTATGTCGGGAAGATAATCATGCGACGCTTTTTTTCAATTCAGCATCAACAGTGTATATAAAGTGGGTTATTCGCAGAGTTAAGTATCGTTTTTTTTTTTTTTTTTGATAACCAATTTTCATATCTTTAATACTTACAGGTTGGCGTTTTCTGAAATTTTAGGGGTTGCTCGCACTACTCTTGCCAAGTGCATAATATAAAAAATTTTGAAATTTTGTCTTTTTTAAAAAAAAAAACTTGTATATATTGTATTTTAAAAGTTTTGTTAATTTAATTCAAATTCATCTAGCTGCAATTGATTTTGATTAAAAAATAACAATCTTTATTTTTTAATAAATTTTAATAATTTTATTATTCAAAAAATTTTGTTTATTTAATCTAATATGTATTATCCATTTTGAATTCAATATACTTTATTCTTCATTATCAATCTTATTTATTTATTTATGATCATTTTTTAAGATGCTTAAAAATATTAAAAGTACCATTCTTATTACAAGCATACTTTATATTGTAATAATTGCATAAAAATTTTTTTTATTATCATTAGATTGATGTTTCTTATAAAATGATTTATACCTTTTTATTTTTTATATAAATTGATTTGATACTTTACAATATTTTTGAAAAATCACTGTTCAACAATATTATTAAAATTATTAAATTTATAATCAAGTTATTATATTATACATATATATTATAAAAATTATTAAAAATTTTTTATTTTATTTTTATAATAATTGACAATGAAAATATTAAAAAATCAAAGAAGATTATTTAAAAAATTAAAAGAGTAATAAAAAATATTCAAATTATTAAAAATATATAGTATATTAACTAATTTTTTTATTTTATTTACTGTATCTTAAACAAATTTATTTAAATATAATTATTTTATAATTAATTTATCAGATTTAATTTAATTTAATTTATTAAAATATCACAAAAATATAAACTAATACATTGATGCAAAGATTTTTATTGCATAAGATACATAACATTATTCAAAAAATGTTCTTTTCCTGTTATATAGTTAAATTGACATCTAAAAAATCGTTCGAGATACATATAAAAAATATATGTAAAGCTAACCTTTTTCACAGATAATAAAATAAAATTTAAATGACATTATTGTTCTATTTCTTACTTAGGCAAAGTACAAATACTAATTAGTAAATTTATTATCAAAATATAAAGACCGTAACAAAGAACACATGGGACGAAGCGACCAAGATGTCTTTTTAGAATTGCCATATATCAAACTTGGAATCTTCATTATAAAAAACACATGCAATTTTGTAGTAATAATAATAATAATCAATAAAATCAGATTATTAATAAAACCAGAAGTCGGAAGGAAAATTAGTGCAGTATTTTTTATATATCGCAAGCTATTAACTATTGGAAAATATTTAAATATTTTGAATTTCTCGCATTTACTTTTCAACTTCCTCGTCGGTAAATGGCAATCCTGAAGCTTTGGTTAAAGGAGAATGTATTTAGAAAAAGATAATTGTGCAATTTCATGACGGGAACAAAACCAAAATGATAGAATACACTTACCAGCTCTCACCGAACCGATAACACAGCTCCAATCTTGATTACCATCTGGCACACGTTCTTTTGCATGACTCAGGTGTTTGTGAAATAAGTCTATTGTCGGTAGATGTGTGCCCGAATCTTCAGCTAATTTTTTTATATGACTATTCAAAATGTATTAATAGGATTACAGTAATTAACTACGTAATGTACAAAAGATATCCTACCCCACATCTTTCAACGCATTGTTAATATTAAACCCAATGTCATTTTTGAAATTCTTTTTCAACATTTTTGTTCCTAGATATTAAGATATATTAAAATAGGAGGTTCATAAACCCAAAAGTAATGTTTTCAATTCAGCTACCATAACCAACGTAAGGACTGTTGGGAAAAATCGAACTGATAGCCTCCATAAGTTTTTCCTGTTCGATATCGTTTTTTTCCGCCAAAGTCATCCCTTCAGATAATGCTTCCAACACATTTCCAATGAAGAAGTTTACCGTTAGTTTAAACGAAGCCGCTTTCTTTACATCATCACCTTTGTTTAAATGTTGCCATTAATAAGTTATATCGTTGATTGGATCTTATGGGAGAATTAATAATATATGTGTGTATTTGTGCTAACCTAAAGGAATGGTTTTCTTTCCGATTGCGGGCACCAATACTTTGGTCACGTGTTCAACCTCATTTCGATTTCCAGAGGTCACAACTATCAATTGAGCCGCCTAACGACAAAAAATCGTAAATGTGCTGTACAAGCATCACAAATTCGTATTTTCGACATACTTTTGCAGCTGCAGGAGGTCCCAAAACAGGACAATGCAGCAAATACCGGTTCTCCACGCTCTCAACTTTCTCTTTGATCTTAACGATGGTGGTCGGATAAACTGTGCTTGTTTCCACAAAAATTACCTTTCTCTTGTCTCCATTAATTTGGTCCAATTCCTCTAATAGCGCCTCGAAGGTTTGGTTGACAGCATCATCGTTGGCGAGTGAAGTGAAAATGATGTTAGCACATTCTACTACTTGTTTCAAATCTTTAGCAGCAATTGCTCCAACTTCGGTTGCAGCTTGGGTTTTGGAAAATGTACGATTATAGACAATTAGTGGGGCCAGATTTTGAGATGATAAATAATTTTGAAGGTTAATTGCCATCAGGACGCTAATTATAAGATGTCAGTTAATGAATGAATCTTCAATATAAATTCTCAAGGGACAAACGAAATTACCCCATGGCACCCAAGCCAATAAAGCCGTATCGATCAGAATTCGACATTTCAACCAAGATTTTTCGCATCAAGTGGGTAAAACATATGCTGTGTATATATACTATATCTATGGCGTAACGATTACATAGTCATTTGGTGTATTTTTGGAAGGCACAGCTCGCTTAAATCAATTTTAGAAATAATCCGCCATGAAATAATAAATACATGGGTATTGGGAGGACAAATAAGTTTGACCGCTCTTATGGAAGTCCTTGATCCCGAAATCTCGGGATTAGAACCAAAGGTCAATGATTATTAAGTAATTAATGTTTATAATTCAACATTATTAATATTAATTACGAGTTATTAAATATTTATAATTCAACATTATTAATAATTTTAATAATTCAACTTGTTTGTATGCATCTTGTATTGCAAGATTACCTCGTACAATGTTTGTTTAGAACCAGAAATTTAATGGCACCATGACTGTCACCATAATAAAGGTCTTGTGAAAAAGTTCATTATTATATATTTCGGAATATTTTATTATTGTTAAGAATCATTTCCTCTTGTTTATAATTCTTTTTATATACAGTAAAAGCTTAATTTCAGCAATCAAGAAAAGTCAAGTATTATTTTTTTATTCATGATAAAAAAACAAATCAATAGTATAATATATAATATTAAAAAGAAACTAGTTACATAAAGATTATGTAACAAAAGAATGAATGAAAATTTAAAATTAAAAATTATTACTATTGATTTAGAATTTTTAAGCGACATAATTTTGTTAAAAATAATTAAACAACAAAGTGTACTATAAATATATTTTTATCTTCTTTAAATAAAATTTCAATTTATTGTAATTGAATTATATGGAATTAATAAAATTGAATAATTAAATTCTTAAATATTTTATTTTACCTAATTAAAAAAAATTTTTTATTTATTTTGATTAGATAATAAAATTAAAAGATTTTTAAATTACATTGAATTTTAAGATTTTAAATATAATTAAAAATATATTTTATAAATATTATAAAAGAATTTTATAATTAATAAAGTTTTTATTATTATTTTTTCAAATTTAAAATATTTTTATTATTAAAAATAAAAAAAATTTTAAAAATTGATTTTTTTGAAAAATAAAACAAATATTATATTAATATCATATCATATACAGTACATATAGTAATTATTTTATTATTATTAATTTTTTTGTATTATTTATAATCAAGTTAAATATTAGTTTATTAATCTTAAAAAGATCAAATTACATATTTATTAGAGTAGGATAAAAAATATTATAGCTAAATATTTATATTATATCTAATTAACTTGTTATAAGTATAAAAAAATTCTAATTTAGGCATTTAAAATAATATTTTATTTTAGAAAAAACTTTAATATCTTTTAATTTTTTTTATTACAATTAGTAGTTTATTATAATTATATATTTTATTAAATCACTAGTTAACAGGAAACTATAAAAGAAGAAAGGAATATAAAAAAAAAAAATAAAATATATAAATATATAAAT